CCTCCCACCCCCCACCCATCAAAACAACATGAATTAGTGGTATATATCTGCGTTGAGAAGGGGTGGAAGTGGACTCACATGCACGCACGCTTGAATTCCGTTTGTTTCACCCCGAAATTAACGTCCACGCATGATAGAATGAGACAAGCCTCCACCCCATCGCCCCCCCAACAGGGGGTCATGTACGACGAATCGATACACGTCAACGGGTTTTATACACATGTGGCAGGACGAGATGTCGATTTTATTGTTTGTGCTTTCAATGAAATCATTTAGACTCGAATGTCTGTTTCTCTTTGGTATATTGACAGGATTAGGGGTTGAATGGATGCGGGTAGTGAGGGTTGATTCATTAAAAAATGAATATTAGCACAAAATAATGGGATCCTATTAAAAATTTGAAGGGGGTAGTGTCGCCCCTTCTCTCTACAATCATGCATCATCCCAAATTGATCCAATTGCATTTTCAAATCCCAAATTTCTCGACCTCCATAAATCTAGACCCATGAAAACTCGTCTCCATTCAGCGTGAAACACCAACACAAATAATCCCTCACCATGCTCCAAATAATGAGGGGGTGCCCCCCCCCCCAGCCCCCCTTCCCACCACTATCCAAGTGCCAACAGAGTCGCTGCAATCTTCGTAATTAAGGGATTCCATGCGTACCAGAGTGAATTGAAGAGGTACCGAGTCCCCCCATTGCCCCCCCTCCCGCCCCCTCACTCTGTATTTGTGCGCCTATGGCCTCTGGAAACTCAAGTCCAGTATCAGAATGGCCCTGGGATATATATGTTTTGTGTATAGATAGTTTCCGAGTGCTGAATGTATAGAATAGGTTGGTCCGAGGAGGGGGGGAATCGATCGTGCAAATTTACACGCGACCCTCTCCCCCTTACAACGCCCCCCTTGTGGGGGGGTACAGAGGCACAGAGCTGTAGCATTTCATGTACATACACATTTGTCGGCGTGTAAACGAGACCTATTATTGGTCGATCCTGTTTGCACTATCGAACTCAATGGGTATGGGGCACTGCCTGAATAAATTCTCTTGTCATTTTTTTTTTTTCGCCCTTATTTGGAGGTTGAGTGGGTCAGTTTCTCGGGGATGTCTCGGCATTGACGGAGGATGGGGGGGGAATTTTTGGGGGGGAATTATTTATTGAAGCTTTCCATCCCCAGAAATTGATTTGCATTTCAATAGCAATATTATAATGAAAAGTAGACAAGGTCTTTCTTCAACGGTTACTTTATTCTTCAATCCGATTTCAATCAAGCCCTCCAGCAATTAATTTTTCCGCTGTTCATTTGAAAATTTAATTAAGAGACCTCTCGCTAGTCTCAAAAGCTCTTTTGTGTTTCGTTACAGAAGAATTATTTAAAAGAGGAAAGAGTCACATGTAGGAAACATGATATTCGTTGTAATCGATTTTCCGTCCTTTAGAATGTTTTCTTTTCACTCTTTTTACATTTCTACGTCACCCCCTTGGCATTACCAACCCCCTGACAATCCCACGACTGAATGAGGTTCAAGGACCTCGTTAAATCTGCAAAAGTGGCTTTCTGAATTCCCCTGCTCCCTCCGCAATGTCTCTTCACAAAACGACCAGCAAATCCATCTATTCACCCGACATTTTAATAATTCGTATTCGATCTCGAGCTCCACTCCGGCCCAAAGAGACTTCCCAAAATTCCCAACAATTCGAAAAGAAAAAAATAGAATAACAATGTGGAGATTCAGTAGAACAGAGGGCTCGATTCATAATTCTTATTATGACCTTTAATCCAGAATTTATTACCTTCAATTAGGGATGTTCTACTCGTACAGTAAAAACAAAAGTTTATGACCCTTTCTGTAATTCATTACATTTATCGCAATGAATTTTCAATTAATATTCCAATGCATTAATTATTTGAAGTAATACCCATAGAGAATTATTATATTGTATTTGCTTTTATGAATCAATATTATATTGTTTAAACAAATTGACGGAAACAAATTTTCGTCAATCGACATGACATTTTTACCATTGTTTTATTTCTGCTTCAATAATAAATTTTCAAAATTTCAACAAAATTTTATATTTTGGACTATATTTACAGATATTTCTGTTTTCTTCATAAAGTCTGTGTTAATGGATAACTTTAATAATTAATAATAAAAAAATCGAAAAAAGTGAATCAATCTTTAAATTCAATTCAAATTTTATATAGGCATTTGTTATCGCTTCAAAAATATATATATATATATGTGAAAATTTAAAACAATTCTTATATTTTCACCACATGCAGAACAACCTTAAAAGGGTTCAGCGACAAATTTTATTATCCCTGTTGGATTCCGAGACATTTTTATAATAAAAACTGGGAGATACGTGAGACGAGAAATGGTAGGTTTTCTCTTTAATAGTTAAGATATATTTTTATTGCGGATACGAAATATATCGGGAATATATTTTACGGCTATTTTCAACATATTTTTACACATTTCTGAAAGTAGAATTCAGTTTGAATCCCCGGAGAATTGAAGTATTGAGTGAATCGAAAGTTTTACGACACCCTGTTTATGCCGATGGGGCGAATTGTCAAGTTGAGATCATAAATTCACCGAGTGAATTCCAGTGAGTTTCGGGGAACAATAAAATCCGTCGAATTTCCATTGGTACATAAGCGTTAAACCGAAGAAAATTTCGATTAACGAGAATCGCGTGCTCAGAGAATCCATTAGAAAAAAAAAAGCTATTCATATTATCGTGGAGTGTCGCATTATCATTAGAATGAATATAAATTGAAGTACAAATTTAGTCCATTGAATCTAGTGAATTCCTGTACTGCGCCCACTCGTATTATCCCGTAAATTCACTGAAAAAGGAAACAATAGACCTGACAATCAGCCCTTAATCACCCAGAATTAAACTTAATTTGTCAAACCCATAAACCTCCAGTGCGTTATATAAATTGAAAAGCTCCTAGTATTTTTGTTGACGTTACGTACCATCGGGATGGGCTCCACACGAGTTTAAATTCCAGCAATGAAATTACGCGTGAATATACGGAGAGCAGTGGTGAATTTATTCGGTCACATTCGTACCAAAAGGGGGTTGGAGGGTTGGAAAATGGAACAAAGTGATGGAAGAGTGAGGGGCAAACACAGAGGGACTAGGAAATTCTGGGTTTACTGCTGGTTAATAGCCAGACGATAAAGGACTCTCGAGAAATGTGAAATTCCGAACAATGTTGGCCCTCGGTATACCCATGTCCGATCTACCACTTTTTCAGGGGGTTATTACTCCGGAAAAATTTCCAAAGTTTTCTGCACTCCCTTTCTGGTATATCACACGAAAATCAAGAAAATTTTTTCAGTCTTAAATATTCATTTCCTATATTTGCAGCCTTGGGACCAAAATTTTACTTTAATTTTTTTTTACTTCCGAATGGAAGCTTTGTGATCGACCAGATTTAAATTTCTTATTTCTCCTCATATATCAACTTAGTATAATCCAAGAAGTTCGAAAATACACTTTTTAGATTTTGTCCAAAAGCGCGTGTGTGTGTGGTCTTTTTTTTCCTTTCATTTTCTTTGATTGCTCACCCGCATCTCTACCAAATTGAATTTTTTTTTTTCAAATGTAGGTCTCATTAGTCCCTATCTATCACCGTGGGCAAAAATTAATTTTATCCACCCCTTTGTCTTATTTTCTTATTTTTATTTATTTTGTATTATTTCCAAAATTCGATTTCCTTACGATAACTCAAAAAAAAAATTCTTCCGAATCAATTAAACGATGGCTTAAAAAAATTCGTCCTGATGCTCTCTTGACCGAGTTCGAAGATGAAGATGACAATAATGTTTTTTTTAAATTTCTGTGAAGTCAGGAGATTAATACAGTGGTACCTGAAAAAGTGAATCCCGGAAAAAATATCCCAGGGAAAAAATATCCCACACATTCAAAACGTGTTAAAACTCGCTCAATTTAATTATTTTTTAATTTAATTATTTTTTTCGTTGTCTACTTTTTCCGGGGATATTTTTTACGCCTACCGAAAAAGTTTATTTGAACACCATTAACTTGAATTTTGAATAATAAAACTACACTGTTACCGAGTCATTGAATTTAATGAAATGAAAATGAAAGCTCCTTTACAAAAGGGAAAGAAATACGGAAAATAGTCATTCGTAAAGATATTGTTAATTTATTAGCAAAGACAACTATATGATATCCGATATAAGAACAATTTCCTACTTGTTTT